CAAGTATTTATTCAGATAAACGCAGTTCGGAAAAAAAACCTAGAAATTTGACCAAAATTAAGATTAACATAGTCAGAGTGTAAAACTTTCCACAGTATAATCTACCCGCTAGATAGAAAAAAAGGAAAATCTCTGAGGGATGAAAACGCTTAAGTCACGTTTCACTAGCTCATGATTGTGTTTGGCCTGTCAGCACCGGATTTCCTGCTGTTTGATTAAGTACAATAGCAGTGTCATTTCGTGGTTGTGATTGGCTCTTCCCACCGTCGGCGCGCGAAGTCGCCCCTGGGAACCGTTCTAATTATAAATCTACTCGGGAAAGGGTTGACTCCAAGGGATTGTATGGGAGATGGAGGCTCCATTTGATGGGCTCCTGCCGATTTCCTAAACGATGCTAGAAGGGTCCGCGGGGGGGGGGGCTCCCCTAGGAAATGTTTTTTGGAGTTTTACTCCTGAAGTCCCCTTTCCTGGGTTTCCAAGTCATTCAGACAGGATATTGGCCAGATTTCAACATTGAATGTGTTTTATTATTAAAAATGTATTATTACTGGGCTGCCTGTGCGCCCAGTCATAAAATGGGCTTTCGGTCGTCGGTGTCAAAAAGTGGTCTCCCGGGGGAGGGAAGACACGAGGGTCTGGTACCGAGAAACCATGTTCTCACAAATGGTTTCATATGATTTTCTCTTGCACGATCCCTTGCACGGATACTTTTTGTACCTCGTCGGCGCTCCCCCTGAAAAACCCACAAAGCGTTGCGAACCTGAAGAAGGCTATTTGCGTTGTTCGAAGCGATTCGACAATGGGAGTCACTCTATAATTTTTTTATTGTTCGAGTTAGATGATGTTGGCGCTGGGAAACTCAGAGAAATGCTCGCGTTGCATTCAAACCGATACGCTGTTCACGGTAGGTTCACACTAAAAGATGACTGTGAGCGTCAGGTTTGGAACGCCGTGGCCGCTTCGTGAACTCAAAGAGAGAATTATCGATCGATGAAGTACATGAGCAATTAAGAAGCACAATTTATAAGCAAGGTATTTCACCAGTTGACGACACTATGGCTGAAGACTTGATTGTAAGCCTTCGTAGCCGATGAATGGCACTACGCACGTCTATGAGCGAGGGACGTGACAACTTTGCCATGTTAGAAGACTGGCTTTTCCTTTAAATATTTCCTTCTATTTAATGCAACACACGCTACTTTGGAGGTCTAAATTTCGGATACTGAGGATAAAGAAGACACGGACAAAAATAGGGACTCTGAGAATTTCGCGCACAATGCACAAGTTTAAAGCTTCACCGGAACATCCCATCCGGGAGCTTCACAGAGAGCGACTTAAGGAAAATAGCAGCTTTTACTGACAAGGTTTGGTGACTGAGTAGAGCATACAAGTGTAGCCCACGTCGAGGTTTCAGGGGGTTTGCTTTTGTTTGTATTTGTATCTTGCTACGCTTTTATCATTAAATTTGTACATGATCTTGTGATCACAATTCTGTGTTTTCGAACATTCAGCAAGCACGGTATATTGATGTCAGCATTAGCGAGTTTCAGAAACATGCCTTTGAAAGTTTTTTAGCTCTCGTGATGTTTCTTGATATTTCTTTTACCATTTTATGAAGATGTTAACTGAAGTCACCGCAAAATGGAAACTTAAAAAAGCGTATAATCCATTTATCTCGAAACATAACACATATGACTTATACGACCTTTATTTTCGTAAAGGTGTTTTGAATACGAACGAACACAGTCAATGTGAGGGGCAAAAACAGCATTAATATAAATGAACCATAGAGTTTTAACTAATATAAGGGTCAATTATTGTGCATTGAGATGAATCGCTTGAAAAGAGAGACTTCGCTTGAAGATGTGATCAGAAGTAAACAAAGGCATAATAGTGCGTCACGTTCAGTCTTTTTAATATCCAGGGAGTCACTGTGAATAGTGTTTCCATATTGTTTAGCTGGCACAAAAACTTCGGACGAGTTATAAAGCGGCATAGTTATCTTCCATGAAGAAAAGTTCGTCTTGGGTGAGACAAACAGAACTGGAGCGAATTTTTAACTCGCATCGGTATCAGGTAAAAAACATGTTATCGATCGTTTCATCTATTTACATTGTTTGAAGTGCGTGCTGGTGAACGCAGCATGCGAGCGAGAAGTCTTTAAACTTTTTTAGGTCTCAAAATGCAAAGGATTTTATTCCTTTGAGTTAGAGAAAAATACCATGAGGAAAATCTTAAAACTGAATATTTTTCTTCTTGTGGAAAAAGTAGTGCGTTTTCTTGTAGACTGTGGACCGCAAATTAGTTTCGCACTTTTCACAAACATACGAATTCCGAAGTTCAGAAGCCAACCGACGATTGCGTTTTTCGCTGCTGTCAATCATCTTAACGGATCTACTAGGAAACAAAACTCTACTTCACGGGTTCAAAAGGTCATGGTTTGTGGTTTGTGGATTTCGATCCGTTTTGTGTGTTTCTCTGTTTCAAGGTTCGTTGCTTTTGATCGTAATTATGATTGACGGCAGCGATAAACACAATTGTGAAGGTGGCTTTTGAACTTTAGAGTTCGCATGTTTGTGAAAAGCGCAGTAAAGTCTCCGTGCAGTCAGTGAGGCCCCTGGATCAGGCGGGATCAATGGGCAGTTAACTGTCTGTTTTAGTATACTTCTGGTTTTCATATAATACAATATTTCTGTCTAGTGTAAATCAGCTCATTATACGCGTAGAACGACAACAATTTTTGGAATTTCCAGTTACGTCACGTTATTCTGTCACGCTATATTTTGGGGCACAGAGGGATTAGGGGAGGGGTACGTGGAAATAATGCAAATTGTTTCCTGCTTAAAATTAATGGCTAACTTGTCAATTTTTATTCATAGTGGTGGACTTTAAAAGTTATTATACAGCCCCCACTTAAAAATGGTACTCTTTTTTTTGGGTTACGAAAGTCTTTCAAAAGGGTACAATGTTTTGAATGAGTTTATGTTTCAGTCTCACATGAGGTTCTGTCGCATGCAATGGTTGCCGACAAGGTTTTATGGTAGCCTGAGTGTGTATAGCCGCCCCCTCCCCTCAGAAAAAATAGCCCCTTGGCAGCCCAGTTAAAAATCGCCTTTCGGCGATTCTTGTTCTGACTGAAATGTCATCGATTTCCGTGAAACGGTGGAAACCGGTGTGGGTCCGTGCCTGCATTCTTTCATTGGACGTAACCGGCGTTGCATGCAGTTACATAAATCTTGAGTATCACATGGGAAACAAACTGAAGCTGAGTCTTAGAGAAAAAAAGATCGATTGTGTATTGTGTGAAGCGCTACCAATTATGCAATAGGTCAGACTGAAACTTATACTTGACATGAAGTACTGATGTCAAACTGCTCTAATACGGACACCGTAAAGACACAGCAAAATATTAGAGAGGTGTCCCACGTGGTATAGAGGTCACCACAGTGACTCCACTGGCAATTGTACCTTTTATTTGTAATTGTTACTGTAAGGCCTAGACCAGACGTTGAACTTTACATGAGACGAACCAAACCTAGCCGAGTTAAGTTTTGAAAAGTTCGACCTCTGACTCAGTTAAGTTCGGATCGTCCAACACGTTGTTCTATCCGTCTGAAGATCGTCTCCAGGACAAACGTCGATCTTTCACATGGGACGAACTAAACTAATAATTTTCATTTCTTTGGTCCAAGTCATTTTATAGTATTTGGTCATTAAATTTTTTTTGTTAAAACTCCAATTGGATATAAGTGCATGAACAAAACATTGATGTTTGCATAACAAAACAGTTTGCTGTACTTATGTCATAAATGGTTTCTCTGTGAGACTAAGCGAAGTCCAGGGGGACGGAAGAAAAACTGCCAACGACACTGACAATCATGTCGATGGCACTTACGAGCTAAGACAGCAATGAACCTTAAGAGGGTCAACAAAAATGTGACCAATTTGAGAGATGGCCTTTTTCTCATTTTTTATCGTTTCGAAAATTGCTTCTTCATTCCGAAATGTGAAAATTTTTTGACTCTTTATGGCATCCAAGGGACCGGAGTGTTCAATCTGTTTTGAAGGTTCCAATGACAAAGACAATGACGGATGCTGAGTTATTCCCATTAAATTTTTTGTCGCTTTAGACTGCAAAAGAGTCCGTACGTATTTTTGCGTATTCAAGTACGCGCGAGCAGTCAAACAAAAGGTCTGGATCGAGGCTGAAAACGGGGAGAGCGACTGCCTCGCGCGTGTGCCTCTTAAGCTACCCTAAACTTACTCATTTGAGAATAAAATCGACTGTTTTGCAGTCTATTGTCGCTTTAAATTTTACCTTTTTATTCATTAGTGAAAAACTTTATTATTATTATTATTTTTTTTTAAAAAAAGAAAAAAAAATAGAAATTTTTTTTATCTATTGTAGAGAATGGCAGCCAAGGGACCGGAGTGTTCAATCTGTTTTGAACATTACAATGACGAAAACAAATGTCCTCGGTTGCTAAGTTGTGGACACAGCTTCTGCCAGATTTGCCTTTAGAGACTACTCCATGGTAACACCATTGATTGTCCCAAATGCAGAAATCCAGTTGCCGTTACTTCTGGGGTCCATGATCTGTCAAAGAATTTTGCATTACTGGACATCGTGAATGAAACGGCACCCAAACAACATGCTGGAAATACAGGTCATACAGGCACGCAGGAATGTGAAGCTTGTGATGAGAAACACCCAGCAACGTTCTTTTGCTTGGACTGCAAAGAAAACATGTGCAACACTGCAGCTCAAATTCATAAACGCAGCAAATTAAGTCGTGACCACCGCGTTGTTATACTTCAAGGAACTGAAAGCAAACCCTCAGCTGGCTTCTGTATCGGTTCTCTGTCCGGAGCATAACGATCAATTCCGCTTTTTCGACGAAAATTGTGGTCATGTTATTTGTAGAGACTATTATGCCCTTAATCATAACGGGCACAAGTGTTTGGTAGTAGCTGAAGCTGCTTCAAAATACCGACAGGAGATGGAGGCGCTTGTCACCAAAGCCAGCTGTCAAGTCGAAAAGATTAAAGTTGCTAAAGATCTAGTGGAGAAAGAATTTGATTTTATGGAGAAGGCTTGCAGAGAAAGGCGTGTTGAAATTGAACGCTTTTTCAGAGAAGTAAGGCATATATTTCTCATTAGGGAGAAAGAGCAAACAGTATTCCTAACTACTTACTAGTTTCAATCAGCAGTCATTTTATCTACGGAATAACGGTTCATGCTGGCAGTTAAATAAAGAAACAAAATGGTCAAAAATTTTGACATTTAATGTCCTCAACATGGAATGTAGAAACCAGCGATTTTTAAATGCTTATCGCGGATCATGAACTAGGATCGTTGGACGTTTTTTTTTTGTGATATCTGGATTGTTTGTTTGGAATAAATCCACGGATATAACAGGGTGTGTTTTCTTTTTCATATTTATTAGCTTCGTTCCGCATTATCTAACCGAGAGGATGCTCTGGTGAAGAAATTACTCCGCCTTCGTCTACACAAGGAAGATATTCTCACCAAGCAGCTATGCCGTTTAACAACTAACCAAGAATTTCTAGAGGATGCACTCCAACGAGCAAAGTCCTCCATCCAATCTTCTAGCGATGTTCAGTTCCTTCTCAGCAGGCCGAATATAGTGTCCACGCTCGAGACTGAAGAAAACTACTCAGTGGTGCTTGAACCAGAGGCACAGTTTTTACCGGAGTTCACCATGGAAGAAAAGGACAAAAAGGTGAGAATTCATTTACATTTACCATATTACAAGCATTCCCTCTCTACTAGGCCTATATGCTCGGATTTGGTCAGGTTCGTAAAGGTTCTTAATGTTCCAGCTCACAGACCCAAAAAACCTGCAAATAGTCGAACTTTGGGCTGTAATTTATTTTAGGTGGGATATCATTTATATATACTACTAATAATATAGGTCCAATCACGGATCCTTGAGGTACGTTGCTTTTTACCGGAACCCATGAGGACATTCCCCTTCTTATACTACTCTTTGTTGTCCTTGATGCAAGAAACTCTCTATCCATTGATTGCTGCGGAGCGACCGAAGGGAGCGAGCAGCAACATAATCAGGATTTAAAGGAAATATATAAGGGGCGACGAATTCTCGAATTCATCACATTTTACCACAATGCATTGCATTTAAACACACTTTTTACCACAATGCATTGCATTTAACCAGAGTGCATTGCGCCACGAACAACTCAAATAAAAACACGTGGAAGTTCGGTGGGTGAGAGTGCATCGTTCGCTGCTTAGACGTAGAGTTTTCTTTGTGGCAAATTTTCTACAGCACGGTTAGAGGTCTTACCGAATTTTAAGACACACAGGAGTCTTTCAGATGAGTACGATGGTTAGCTTGGGGATTGGATTTCAATTCAAGAGCCTTTGACTCGTCCAGGTGTTAAACCTGACGAGAAGATGAGCATTTGCTCTTCGACTCCGCAACACGGGGGATATACAAATTCCACAGCTTGCTAGAAGGTGATGTGAAAGTGAGAAAATGTCATGCAATGCTATTCTTAAGAAACTGTATGAGCCGAAAATGGATGTGATTTTGACCAGTCGCTTCAAAATAACAGCGGAAATCGAGATAACAAAACATATGTTTTGTGTCCTACTTTGCAAACGAGGACGTGTATCGGCGTTTTGAAAAGCATAATTATGTTCTTTCATTCATTCATTGCCATGGAAGATGCGTTTACATTGTTTTTTCACTGTTAATAGCTCGGTTAATGCGGTCGGCGATCATCTTGCTGGCGGAAGTTTCATGGAAAAGGAATAAAATGAAAGACTTTTACTACAGATTACGTAATTAGCCTCTGCGGTGTAGTGGTTAGGTGTAGTCGCGTCGAGTCGAAGGTGCCGGGTTCGGGTCCTACCGAATTGTTTATTCCTACTTTCTTTTTTTTTCCGTTTCTTTGTGTTGTTGTTTTCTATAAATATATAGCTAAATAACTGTTACTTAATTAAGCGGGTTTTTCACTTCACTTATCTAGGTATAGTTTTTGATGACCGCCTTAGCTGGAACGAGCAAATAAAGTACCTAATTTCGAAGGCGGGAAAACGCGTAGGAATGCTCGGCAGGCTTCGCAGAAGCCTCACTAGAGAGAGTACAAATGTAGTGTATTGTAGTCTAATTAGGCCAATTTTAGAATACTGTGTAAGTGTGTGGGGCTGTTGCGGGGAAGGTCTTAAACAAGACCTTGAAGCCCTCCAAAACCGGGCTGCTAGGATAGTGGCTTGTAGTATGCGCAGCAAGCAGGCATTGGACGTTCTGAAATGGCCCACCTTGGAGGAGCGCCGACGTCAATCTGTTTTTAAACTCGTTAAGAAATGCCTGCAAGGTCAATGTCCCCAATATTTTAAACAATATTTTAAACGTAATGATACAATCCATGCGCTACTAGACAAAGCAACCTCTTACATCCGCCTGCTGTGAGAACTGAAATTGCAAAAAGATCCTTCTATTATTATGGTTGCACTCTTTTTAACGAATTATCTTAATGATATTTCGTGTTTTACATCTTTTGATCTTTTAATTGAAAATAGTTTTCTATTTATATTATTACCTGTATTAGTGTAATGTTTATATGTTTAGTGTGGTTTTTGTGCGTTGTTGCTCAGGGCTCCCATTGATAACAGACAGCTTTTTGCGTCTGAAGGGGCTACCCTGAGCGGTATAAATTAATAAAGTTTCTTCTTCTTCTTTTTCTTCTTCTTCTTCTTCTTCTTCTTCTTCTTCTTCTTCTTCTTCTTCTAATAAAGTGCAAGAAACAGCAAGAAAAGTATTGTGTTTCCAGAGAAAATATCGTGCACCGTATATTAAATATATGGATAAACAATCTGAATTTCTATTATTTCCTACAATTTACTGTGGGAAAACCAGAGTTGATAACCACTTGATCATTTTTTAAACAACGTTCCCACGAGTTCTTTCTATAGACTGATAGTAATTATTCTAGCACTTTCCAACATGTAAATAGGACATTCAATGTCATTTTTGATTCTTTTTAAGTCTCACTGCCTAACTAATGCCAGTATCAACAGAATGTGCCGCAGCATTACTATCTTTTAGATACCCTAGTTGATAAAACTATTGATACCATATGCTCTGAGCTTGCGTCAAATTGTGATTTTAGTTATCCATGAATTAGCCTGGGACCAGGCTAACGGTTTTCTTCGGACGCCATTCTTTTCCCCGGGATGAATAGAGTAGCAGATATTCTCCACATAGCAGTTGTCATCTACCCTGGTCCCGGACGTTTTTCTTGAAAATTTTCTCCGGGTAAGAGAGAACGAGCTGCGCAAAGCGGCCGTCTGGTACCAGGGTAGTTGGTATTCGTCGAGTAGTATTTATTCATTCCCGTGTGAAATTTTTCGCCGTTGTCTCCGGCTCTACCAAAAGAGCCTAAGCTGAGCTAACACAGCCTCTTCCCCAGGGCTTCACGGATGTCTACCTTTTTCTGCAGTTATCCTACTCAATTGATGCAACTTCGTCCCCAGGGCTTTTCCCTTAAAAAATGGGTGGGGCGGGAAAAGCCCTGGGGACGAGGTTGCAATTGATGCCTTTTTAAGGGGGATATCGCAAAAGTCATCCAAATTTGGTCATCGCTTACTAGTTCTGAAGAATTTGTCGAGGATTTGAGCCAATTATTAATCTCTCAGTACAATATAGTGGATGCAACGTACGTTGCCTGTATAGACCTATGTGGGAAACTGGTACACAGTGTGATGTCAGTATCACGTGTTTTCTTTTTGGGAAAATCCCAACCCCCGCGAGCTTTTCCCTTGCTCGAAGATTCTGAGTTTTTTCTGATGTTGTCCCTGCTTGTTATTCTGAGAAGCTGCATTTCTACTCTGAAGGTTTTGAATTGTGATCTTGAAGATCACCTGAAGAAAGTCTACGATTGTGTCCTTTTTGTGCAGACTATACCAGTCGTGTGGCCCACCTTTTCGCAGAGTCGTTGCCCATGATCCAGGGACACCCAACGAGAATATAGGTCAAAACCACTTAAACATAGCATTGTTAAACGTATTTTAGTACTTACACGGTAGATATAGGAATACTTTTATCTCCTAAAAATTTTTCATCTGTTCGGGTTTCCTAGCTGAAAGTCTAGTGATCCGAAAATTATAGGGATCAAAACTTACCTTTCGAAAATTTCAGCCATAAAAAAGGCTCCCGAAAATTCTAGGTGACCTCTTTAGGGGAAAAATCCGTTAAAAATGGGCAATTACACCATTTTTTAGATGTTCGAAAATCCTAGGAGAGGCTGGCAAGCAAGAAATTTTACAACAAATTAATGTTCCGAAAATAGTCTAGATCTCAAATCGTTGGGTGCCCCGGATGATCGATTAGAGTACAGACACACCAAAATGCATTTCTCAGTTCACAAATATATCTTTCTCTACGAACTCATCCTTTAGTTGCTTAAAATGTGGTTGTCGCAAAGAAAATTTTATTTTATAAAACTGCTGAGAAACAGAATATCAAGTACTAAGCGTGCCAAGTAAATGTTTTTTTTAGTAAATGAGCTTTTCAAAATTGAATTTGTAAAGAATGTAAAATGCAACGATCTCTTTCAGCCTGTCACATACTGTCCCAACAAGGTATCAGCGGTTATCCAGAGCGCAGGAAACATCAGTGACCTA